CAGGACGACCAGAGGGTCGGTTGGATGTGGTTGGGAGAATAACAGGAGTCTGTTCACATGACCTTGGATGGAGAGGGGATCTTCTCAACACAGAGCACTGCTCTGATATAGCCTGGAAGATCAGGGAACCTTGTGTAGACAGGAAGATGAATATCCCTTCTCCTGACTCACAGCGACGGCCTGCTTCAATGCTGAATCCTCCCTGTAATCACATCCAATAATAGAGGCTACATCTTAAAGGAAGCATTTGCTATTTTGAGAAATTCCCTTGCTCACTTTCTGAGAGTCAGATGACAAGAATGATATAATTCCCCTGTCAATAAAACAAATAAAAAGCTACTACTAGCAACTGGTTAACTTAGCTTAAAGCCTGGAAACAGGCTAACAGCAAGTTCTGTCCAAAAGAAACAAAATCCACCAATTTTATGTCTGTAATTATGTTTCTGGAGCCACTTTCCCTTGGCTTAGCTAAGCACAAAGACTGAAAACAGGGGAAATAGCTGGCCTAGCTATGTCCAAAGGCAGAACCTTAACAGCATGTCATTTTTACACCTGAGCAGGCCTATGAAAAATCTAAAAGGTGTAATGTGTTAATTGGCAAGTGAGTTAATTAGCATGCTAGTGGGCAGATTTTGTTACAATTGGACAGAGCAAAACTAGCAGTTTCCCTCTGTTTCCAGCATTTATAACCTGGTGCCTATGCTAAGCTAAGCTAACCAACTGCTAGTAGTAGTAGCCTCATTAACTGTACAGACAGTGGTGTCCATCTTCTCATCTGTCTCTCAGCAACAAAGCCAGGAAGAATATTTTCTAAAATGTTGAACTATTCCTTTAAAAATATGTGAATGATGAGCCAGATACAAATTTTATCATCACAGTGGTGATGTATTTTGAATATACCTATGTATCCTTTCTGATTTGGAGGGAATTCAGAAGTACTTTACCTCAACCTGTCCAAATTTGCGTAGGAACCTGTATGGCCAGTGATAGATGACGTGACAAGTATTGATAGCCAGCAGTATCACAGCATCTTTGTCTGGGGAAACCAAATAGTCTCCAGCCAACTTGCACCTCCTGGATGCCTCTGTGCTCTGGACAGTCACTTGGTACCGGTTTGGAGGAGCAGTCAGATCTAAACATAGGAACACATGAAAACATTCGCCACTTAAGCGTCACACCGCACTGAGGTTAGTGCAGCATTACCACACATCAGGTCTGAGCATCAACACACCAACAAAGGGAATAAATGTACACCAAATATATTCTCAAAACGGAAATGTGCTGATTTAAAATGGCTCGCATTCTGCTAACCCCTAGTACGTGACCGGAGTTTTCAGTAAAAGTGTAATGAATGAATGTATGAATAAATTTGTGGGTATAGTCACACGGTTTCTGCTGATGTTTTGAATTTCTGATGCTATGACAAGTAAACCTCACTGCAGGCATTCTCTGTCTTGTTACTTTATTGTAATATATCAAACAATGATAATTCTGGTTTTGTACAACTTGCCTTAATTTTGTAATTTGGGCTATGATCTCTATCAAGTGTGAAAACATTATGCTTATTGAAATCTGGGTGCAGTGTAGCATCCCTACAATACAGTTTTGACAGGACAGGTAGGTTATAATGCCTTATTGCACAAGAAATTACTGTGCACTGAACTAACATGGGTTTGGCAAGTCAAAGTGTGTACAGGAAGCAAGACCATACTCTATAAATATATGATTGTGTGACTGCTTATCTGCCTGGCACCTTTTGACTGTACAAAAAGTACAAAAAGGTGTGAGGAAGAAGAAAGCTGAATCTAAATTATGGAGAAGAAACATTTTATAATGTTTTGGTCTGCCAAAAAACAAAAACAAAATGGAGGAAACGATGATGCTGCCCTTACCTGTTTTGACCTCCTTTCCCCTCCTAATAATTTTTATAGTCTTTAGCAATGGTATCATATACTGTACATGTATATTCCTGAAACAATTTGGTCAGCACAATATTATTACTACTTAAAACTATGGAAATAGAGCGAAGTTCTAAAAAACCTTCTGGCAGGGTAGAAGGCAACAGTTAATTCCAGTTCTTAACAATAACCTTCACCTGGCGCTCACTATTGTGATTGTTATTTTTGATTGCTTGTTGACTGATTAGCTGTAATAAGCAGACTGACAAGTACCAGCTTTCCAAGATGAGTAAAGAACATTATCTTCCATAGTCAAGTCGTTTCCTCTCTCCAAACCCCCTCTGTCTGTTTCTCCAGGATCCTTCTGTAAACAGTGGCATGGTAAACATTACACGGAGTGTACACCATCCTCTTATCACTGTTTTATAACTTCAAAGTTTAAGAAAGGACTTAGCTTGTGCAAGCACCAGAATTAGAGAAGTGAAGTGACAGAAGTTACAGATACTGCATTAACTTCCTCATTGTGCTATCTACCTCTCGTGAATAAAGCTAACTCTCACCTTTCCCAAGTTATGACACTAACCCTGATATAAAAAGAAAAGGGAACGTTGGAGTGGTCAAGAGGGGAGATGTGTAATACCTGAAAGGCTAGAAAACAGAGGGCACTTATCCATTCCTGGCTTGTGGTGGAGGCCATGGTGTAGGTGCACTGTGTGGTGTTTATGTAGAAGGCTGTGCACCCTTGGAGGCAAGCTTCATTTGGAGCAGGGGTGACACTAAGACAGTCACTTAGACGCACTACCTTTCGCTCTGGTGTTTTCTGCCGACCAGCCTTCTTCTGGTCAGTAATAGCATTGGTGTCAAGTACAGTATAGATCTCCAGTCGCCCGACCCCTGTGGAGCTGGGTTTAAAAAGCATGCCCCATATTTTCCGCCATGTTCTCTGTTGATGATAGCAAGGGAGGAAAGAAAAGTGGCAATTTATAAGTGGTTCTCTGGCACAGTTTGTGACTTTTATATCTTACATAATGAGAAGAAACAACTTTGGTTCCCTTGGGGAGTTTTGTTTAGAGAGTTAATGGTGTGCCCCAAGTTTTAGACCCAACCCCATTCGTTTCTGTGTGTACATACAGCCATTAGGTCACATCATTACAATAGCAACAATGTCATCTGTTTCTATTGTTACACAGATGGCACACACCTCTACATTTTGTGCGTTAGATTATCATCTCGTTAATGGTGAACTTTAAAAAGCAGTCATTTAAAGAGTCAGACCTTTCTACGGGAAACTGACAAAACAGAGATAAAGGTCAAAGAAACTTCTCTATGTACTCTATGTACATCTGATCAAGAAACGAGATATTTTCAGACACTATGTTTATTTTTGCCAGACAAAAGGTGACTATATCTTCTAGCATGTGCTAGGTCACACCAGTTCACTTATTCACCCACCGTGAAAAAAAGAAACAACACATTTGTTCTTTAGTTTATGCACATCTTGATTACTGAAATATATTACAATCATACACTTACTGTTGCTAACATCTCTTAATTGGCTGCCTGCAAGTGAAAGAATTACTTTTCACAAGCTTTTTAATGTTTTCAGATTACCTCAGTGATACTGCATCTACTCTACAATTGCAATTACACTGGATGAAGTTGCTTTTTTGCATAAGATAATTTACTGTACAACTCCATGGCCATTTTATTTGTTCATTATATATGAAGGGTGTCTTGTATTTTTTGTTGTGATGCAAACAATCTGTCTCAAATGTACCAAGGCTTCTTTCTGTAATCATGTACTACAATTTCTTGGACAAACAGTGCTCTGTGCATTACTGTCATATTGCTAGCGCTCTCATAAAAGATACTATGTTCTGAGGTCATATGCAAACAGAGTGACAAAGTCAAACAAAACCACTTTAGATAATAAAACATTTCTTTAAAAATGTTTCTTAGATTCTGCAAAGTCCCACTAAATTGACTGAGTGCAAAGGGTGGTTTCAACTAGTTTTAATAAACTTGGACATTCATCTTACCAGTCATCATGCCTTATAGAACTGCAACAAATGTTTGAAAGTATCATTAAAATAAACTTCTGTATGAGTTTTACTAAATGACAACAACAAAAGTTGGGGAAGTGCACTATTGGACCTACTTGTACTGTTCAATAAACGTTGTAAAAAGTAAATGCTACTGTTTTGCCTTTGCATGCAACGACTTGAGACAAACTGGTCTCATCAGGACTTAGAACCTCTGACAGACACCACCAGCTGAGCCTTCACCTGGGCGAGTCATGTGACTAGGGTTGCAGTGGTATGATGACCATCTCAGAAAATATCATGGTGTCACCGTATTATGGTATACAGTATTACACAATTACTGATTATTTCCATTACAGATTAACCTGCTGATTATTTTCTCCATTAATTGACCAACTGGATTGTAAAATATCTGAGAACAGTGAAACATGCTGTCACACTGCTCTAAACGATTAGCAAAATAGTTAATTTATTGTAGGTGTGTGAGAGTGCAGCCAGACCTCTCCTTCACCCTCACACACACACACATACACACTCACTTACGTGAGCTAGGGAAGTTTGTGCGTGTTCCTGGGGTCAGATTGGGATCAGTGTGAGTTCTTTAGTAAATCAGAGATTGGCGAACGAACAGAAGGTGGAGAATTATTTTGACAGCACATTTTATAACCGACTGTTATTGTTTGGGATTAAAGTTGTAAACAGGACAAATATTTTGACCTGTAAGGAGAGATGGTGTTCTCGAAGGTGCTCATTTTTGAGACATCCAAAGTAATCCTGCGCTGCTGATTTTAATTTTTATTTTGGTGATACCAGCCTCCTTCTCTCTGCCGTTTGTCCGCTGCATGTGTGCATGTGGTGCCCGCTGCGGAGGCTGACAGGCTGTGGAGAAGAAAGTGTACACGCATTGTGTTTTTTTTCCTTCAATACCATTAATAAGCACGTGTGTGGTATGATTACTGTCAATTTTCAGACCGTGGTAAACCGTACAGCCGGTATACTGCTGCAACCCTGTGAGCCAGACTCACCGAACAGCACTGGCAGCAGCGCAGACATATTAGCTTCTAAAAGGTTTTGAGCAGGATTGACCTCTCTGCCCAATCTGACCTCTTGATTTAGAGTATCATGCAAGTGCTACTTTAAGTTATATACTGTAGCTTTAATTTTAGGAATATGTAAGAAACATGACATAGAAAATGTTTAATTAAGCATGTCACACACATTTCAGTGTGCAAGCCAAGTACCAGCCTCCTTCTCTCTGCCAACTGTGTGCGTGTGGCGCCCTTTGCGGAGGCTCAAAGGCTGTGGGGAAGAAAGTGGCGCACGCATTGCGTTTTTTCTTCAATACCGGTGAAAAACATGCGCGTGGTATCATAACCCCCAATTTTAATATCATGGCATAGCATAAAATACTGCTGCAACTCATTAAGTGCCATATTTCTGACCAATTAGCAGTTTAGTGACACAAAAACAATGGAAATAAAACATGGCCCATGAAACTGAAAATGTTCAGACCATGCTCAGTATGCCCATAAAACTTACTTTTCCAAACTTGACCGCTTGAAGGTATAGCATCCCTTCTTTGGAGATGACATCCATGCTTGTAAGCGCTGTCTCTGATGTAGTACAGCAGTTGTTCTGTGGTCAACCTGCAACTACTGCTAGACTAACAGTTTCCTTTACGTCATAGATACATTTTTTTATGATTCCGTCTAATATAAATAGCTAACAGGCAAAAAATATCTCTGATCTGCAACTCAACTGTTGCAAAAGGAAAGGACACGTTTTGTCTTAATATATCTTGAGTCAAACTTCCCTTTGCATTATTCTGCAACTAGGCAACTTCCTCACCCCACAAAACTGACGCCACACCTTTCACTTTTTCCAGATAAGAACAGAAAGGATCAACAACAGCTATATAGTGGTTTTTATTTACAATCTAAGTATCAAAAATATATGTTACAAAAACTACTCATACGGGACAGGTAGGAGAAAACCTGGGTGAAAAAGGTGAAAGCAACCAAACATTTGAATTAACAGTACAAGAAACTCAGATAAAAATGAGTATGATACGCTTCCTTAGTTCAGTGACATGACACATAACCGTGCGATTTCCTTCTCAGTTCTGTTTAGTTTCGGAGAATCATGCCTCTGATGAAAAAACAACTTAGAAGTCCATTGAACTATGAGCCAGGTAGTCTTTCCGCCCAATGTTGGTGACCTGCTTGGTCTGCATGGCCTCCAACTTAGGACAGTCTGTAATACGATGACCCAGACCACCACAGAATGTACAGCCTCTCTCTCCTGGAAATATAACACAAGACACACGTATGTTAGAAGCAGTGCACAAACAATCCGCACTTGTTTCTCTGAATGTGAGATGAGAGGGGATGAGGTTTAGAGAAGTAAAGAACAGGCATGCCTATAAAAAAAAAGGTATAAAACAGATTAGCTGTGAAAGACTCACCTCCGATGTCCAGCATGGTCTCATCTCCTGTTTGGAGCACCTGGAGGACCGGAGGAACCTTCTGCTTGGCTTCTACTAGAAGGGCTTTCAGGTCCATCAGTACCGACTCATCTGTGTGGGGAACACACACACACACACACACTTACTGTTAACTGATTGTCATTTAACTTTGAATTAAAGTATGGGTAAAGCTAAATCAGTGATTTGTTTCTAAACACATTATACGTATCAGAAAATAGTTCATGAAAATGTGAAAAGACTGAGAACTATGTAGTGTTAAACTGTGGAGTTAGACTGTTTCATCATTCAGAAGTTCAGGATTTCCAGGGCGGAGCTGAAAGCACGGCTCGATGAAGCACTGGAGCCATCCTTAACATAACACCTCGCCCAATACTGTAACGTTATAAATCCCAGGGTGCACAGAGCTCTATTAGGGCCACTTGATATGAACACGGATGAAAATTTACAGCCACAATCATGTTTTTAATAGAAACAACATGAATACTGCTGCCTCAGTATTAAACAATGACAAAGTAGTAACACATAAACGGTGCATGTAGGAGAGTGTGCACCCCTGGAGGCAGCATTTCAGAGCAGAGAATACTTCTTAGTTTCTCATGATTTTATAAACTTGGTGCTAATTTTAAATCATTCAAATTTGGCTTGGTGGTTAATGACACATTTTCCTGTGGTGTGACAAACTCAGAACACGTTTATTTCTACTTTACCCTGCCTTTAAGCTATCCAAATTCAAAATGATACATTGTAAATCACTATTCCTATACAAACTTATTTCATTTTTATTATAATTGGTATTTTTTCTTACCACAGCCTTTGTTGATAAATGTAGTGGCAATACCAGTCTTGCCCGATCGGCCAGTTCTTCCAATTCTGTGGACTGAAATGAGACAAATTCAACTAACTAATTTCAGCAAGTAAAGGAGAAGTTGAGGCTTATATAAGGTATCAATTTTAATTAAGGAGGCTAGGCATTAAATATATCCTCTTACCATAGTTTTCTATCTCCTCCGGCATGTCATAGTTCACCACATGCTGTATAGCTGGAAAATCCAGACCTTTGGAGGCAACGTCTGTGGCAACTAAGACATCTTTCTTTCCTTCTTTGAATGCTTCTATGGCTTTGGTTCTTTCCTCCTGATCTGAAGCAATTACCAAATATCATATAAACAAAAATATTTTATAGGACAAGAATGTGAAAGATTTGCTAACAGCACTTTGTATACCTAGGAAATGTTCAACTATGAAGCAGAAATGGCGACATGCACTTGCAGGGTGGCATCTTGTGGTAAAAATAAGCAACTACAAGAAAGTGGAAGACTAAGCCTGAGCTAGTGTAACCCTGTGCATGCACTATGTACCAACCTCAATGCATTTTAATAATTAAAACTGAGTTCTGCATACCTTTTCCTCCATGGATGGCCACTGCCTCCACTCCTTTTAGCAGCAGATACTCATGAATGGCATCTACATCAGCCTTCTTCTCAGCAAATAACAGCACCTGTCAATGCAAGGAAAGAATATTTTGTAACTTTTGACATATATGAGCTACTGTCTGTCTTTTAGGTATATCTGTGTCATAATATGTTAAAGTACTAACAGGAGGTGGCGTCTTCTGGAGACACTCTAGCAGGTACACCATCTTGGCCTCCTCTTTGACATATTCCACTTCCTGCGCACACAAAAAAACTTAAGTCCAGATCACATATCAGTGGGTGAATGCAATGAATCCCCCTGACTCAGACAACATAACCTGTTAAGAGAGAAAGATGAACATACCTGGATGACATCCAAGCTGGCAGCACCTGCCCTGCCCACATTGATAGTGATGGGTTTGACAAGCGCACTCTTGGCAAAGTTCTGGATCTTCTTGGGCATAGTGGCACTGAAAAGCAGGGTTTGCCTTTGTCCCTAGATAAAGAAATAACAAATGTTAAACTGTTGTTGCCTGGTAAATTCACAAAGACAAGCTACGTCTCCCAAACTCATTACCAAACCAATATCTTGGTATGAGGAGAAAAAAAAAAATCCAGTGTCAACTGTTGAAGCCCAGCAGCTGGAAGACAGACTAGTTGCTATACTATACAGAGTGCCTATATGGTGACGATATTTGTTGCCTTTGAAAGCACAGAGAAAGCACGAGAAGCAGATTTTATGGTTATATTTAACAAAAATTTGACAAAGTTTCCAGAAATAGTCTTTCATTTTGAAAATGAGACAAAAAAGCCAGTGATAGCTCTAGCAGTGGTGAATTTGTCTAAGCAGATAAAGAACAAAGTTTGATTCATGTCTGAGTAGGGCAGAACTTTTTCAGTCTTCTGGACTGAACCGGAGTTTTAACAATTAGGACATGCATGGGTGAAAAGGTTCCTATCACTTGGGAGCTAATGTCAGAAAGGAGGACCTCACCTTGAAATATGAGAAGATGGTCCTGATGTCTTCCTCAAAGCCCATGTCAATCATCCTATCAGCTTCATCCAGAGCCAAATAGCGGCAGATGTCCAGACTCACCATCTTCTTTTGCAGCAAGTCCATCAGTCTGCCAGGGGTGGCGACCATCATGTGGACACCACTGTAACCAAGAAGATGCACAGAGGCTTTAGTGGGAAAATTAACCCAAAACCATGATTACTACTGGGACATTTTGAAATACAGCATTATTGGTGCCTGGTTCTTGAGGTGGCTATGCCAAATGTTTTGCACTGTACATGCTATCAGGAACATATTAGGACTGGAATTTCTGATCTTTGGCCAAAACTGTTCTTCTCTAAATGATTCAATGTAGATGAATCATGATTTTTTTTTTTTTTTTTTTTTTTTTGCTCAAAACGTTTTCAAATAAAAGACAGACATTAAATATTTCACACAGACTTTAATGCTCACTTACTGTTTTACTACTTCCATCTGCTCCTTGACAGACATTCCTCCTATGCAGAGGGCGGTGCGCAGCTGAGGGGCTCCCTCCTCCTCCAGCAGTTTGCTGTAGTACTCTATGATGCCATGTGTTTGCCTCGCCAACTCTCGCTGAACGGGACAAGAATCAGATACGTTTAGGGAGTTATTTTAAAAACAGAAATGGCTCTTCAAAAGGGTCATAAAGACTGCAGAGAGGATAATTGGGACTGAACTGCCTGCTATGGGCACATTGTACACACAGCGCTGTCGTAAAAGTGCAGAGAACATAATCAGGGATCCACGCCACCCAGCTCTCTCTCTGCTCAGACACAAAAACTACACCTACAACCTCAGGCACAGCAGGGCGGACAGTATCATCACACACAGAACAAGACTTTACAACAGCTTTTTCCCTGCCACAGTAAGACTGATGGCAAATACGAGAATGTGAGAAATATGAGAATATATGTGCAATAACCCCTTACTAGACATGTGCAATAATAATAATCCTACAGAAATGTTCCACAAGGTATTTTTGTAAGAGCATCTCATCAACAGTGTTCTCTTGGGGGACCTGAATAATAGCAGGACATTCTCTACCAAGCAATGGAAACAGGCCTGAATATAAACTGTGTTTCAGTATGTTATGACCCCTCACTACCTCACCAAGCATAATGACATATCCAACTCCACCATGTGAATTATTAAGTTCGATGTTTGAAGTTCACTGGGGAAAATATTATTACCCTATTTCTGTGTATTGCGGTTTTAATGCTTTGTTGCCTTTATGTAACTTTTTTATTTTAAGACTAAGCATTCTCTCTGGCTTTTAACTCCTTACCTTACTCCAAAGAAGAGCTGCACAATAATTCCTATATGCCTGGACTGTCTGTTTATGCATAAATGGCAAATAAAAATCTTGACTTGACTTGAGATATGTTTAGGGAGTTGTTATTTTAAAAACAGAAATGTTGCTCATCATATATAAAGGTCAAAATGTGCTAAATGTGTTTTGGTATCTTTAAAGATACCTCCCAGTTTTAAAACTGACTGAAAACCTGTCAAAACCTGAAGGGTCACATCTCACTAAATACAAAAAAATAAAAATGTTCTCACTGTTATTTCTCACTGTTATGTCATGATATCATGCAGATAGTTTTGGTTTTATTTGTTCAGAGTTTGAATTACCAGACAATTAAAATAACACATTCTAATCCAAACACAAAACAGACCAGATAGTGTGTTTCAAGCTGTGCTGCAATTGAAATAGGGTGTCATGTATGTCTCACAGAAGGACAGATGATGAGTCCATATGGTCCCTCTCTCTTAAAAAACGGCAGCCTTTTCTCCTGCTCCAGGGCAAACATGATGATGGGCAGAGTGAAGACTAAAGTCTTTCCAGAACCAGTAAAGGCGATGCCAATCATGTCCCGACCTGACAGACTACAGACAATGTCAATTCATGAACAGTTTATATTAACACTTCATTTCAGCATTAACTCCATATTTTACAGTTTGTACTCTATAGTTTGATATACTGTACTTACACTGTAGGGATTCCTTGGATTTGAATTGGTGTGGGATGTACAATACCCTTCTTTTTCAAACCTTTCAGAATTGCTGCAAACACAACATGCAGATATTTGCTGCCAGCTGTTTATCATGTGTCACCATTAAAGGCCTTGTAGAAAAAAGACAAAGTGTATTTTTTCATGTGTTGTAACCTGGTGGAAACTTCATCTCCCTGAAGCATTTGATTGGAGGAGGGATGCCCTCTCCATCAACCAGGATATGAAATTTCTTCCTGACGCGCTCATGTCGAGTGTCCATCATATTCAGGATGTAGCGAGGTGCCGTCCAGCTAAAAAGAGCATTTGTGTTAAATGGGTTTTACACAGTATTACTTTACATAATTTGAACTTGCTGATTAACAACCCACCTTGTTTTTATTGGATCATCATATATGATACCTTTGGCCATTTCCTTCACTGACATCAGAGCTGATAGAGGTCAAAGTCCCCAGAATTAGTTTCAAGTTTAACACATTTTGAACTAACTGTTTTGTCAAAGTAAATTTGTTTAATAACTCAACATGGCTTCACAGAAATGTGCCAGAATTATAATTTTACCTCTGCCCTCTGCTACACTCTCAAGAATCTTCTCCTCTTCTTTCAGCTGCTTCTCCTTGGCTGACTCCTTACGTGCTGTAGGCAAAGAAGGTGAGATATCACAGAACCAACAGAGTCATGTTAAATAGAGTGACAACGATTAAAGCAACAATTATTATCCAGAGTGGGCCTTGTTTGAATTGGATACCTTCCGCTTTTTCCTTTAAATGCTGATGTTGGTCAAGGAGACTGATATTGGAGCGTGGACCAAGGCCCTCATCTTCATCCCGCTGCTCCTCCCCACTGTCCTTCTGCTCCTCATCCACTGCTTTTCCTCGCAGACGTAACATCTTTTGTAGCTGTGAGACACATGAAAAAGTATTACATTTGGATATATAGTGACTTCACCAGCTACTTCCTAAAGCATTAAACAAGATCATACATGGCAACTTACCATTTGTTGTTTTCTTATCTTGACTGGCACATATGGAACGTAATCGTCATCCTCCGATCCTTCTGAGCCTGACCTTTCATCCTCCCCATGAGATCTCTATACAGACACATTACCACCAACAGTAGGCATAAGTGAGTCTTTGCTTTTTTGCCCTCTACAGAGAGTTCAGCATTCAAGCACAGTGACCTTGAAAAACAACCAGTCTTTTGAACAAATCTTGATAAAGAAGCTGGCACAAAACACGTTCTGATGTATGATTGTTTTCAGCAATTTTTAAAGCTGAACATATGGATATGCATTTGCACAATGTGGCAACAGGATACTGACAAGACTGCATTAATGCTCAATTATACTCACTTTTATATTAACTGTTAACATCATATGCTTTTGTTTAATAATACACTACTGAATGTGCCGCCGTGTGTTTAAGGTTATATGAACGTCACCGAAACGTACTGACCGTGAATGTTGTGGCACAGCACTGCAGCTAAGGTTCGCTGATCGTGGAGCTTTACCAAACACGGTTAAATGCATTCATTTAGAATATAGCTGACAAATCACATAATACGTGAACACTTTAGTTTAACGTTATTAATGTTTCAAACTGCGTAATGGATACTATAATGTAGCTATGTAAGACAGATAAAGGACACTGATGCTTCTCTAGCACTAGCTAACTTTAGCTAGCGTCAGCTAACGTTATGTTACCGCTTCATACTGTAGCGAGGGCATATTGTTAACGTACCTTTTTGGTTCGATTTTCGGTCTCCATTTTATTTCCAACTATGGTAACGTTCTCAATTAACTTAAGCCACGGAATAATTGAACAAAACCTCTGTAGAGAAATCAATAAATATACCCGATCCACATATTTACACAACACAGGAAGCTTTGAATGTACGGAAAGCTGGAAGGGACAAATCATCGAAGCGCCGCGTTGAAACCTTTCAATGCGAGAAGCAGGTCGTTTAGGTCATATCATTGAACCAAAATCATAAACTTAGAAAGCAAACACCACACTTTATATTTGTCAAAACTGTATTGTTTTTAATCTTTCTGAACGAAAGATCTTTCACAGTATCAAAAGTGATTTAAAAAAAGAAACAAGCCAACATACACTTGGCTATTATTGGTATAGTATAAATCTACATTCGAAACATTTAGATAACCTTCTCTAACTGAATATAACCTGGAAATCATCAGAGAGAGATGTTATATGAAAACACAATCTCAGCACATACTCAGGAAAAAAATCATCCATGTCAATGAAAGTCATCAGCTAAAACGTGGTTACTGGTTTAAATCCCAAGGCCCTTTTTCCAAAAAGTATCAATTCATCAGTGATATTTCTTATCAAAATGTAATCAAGACTTGGACTTCAAATAGGCTAGCTGCTGTCACAGTACAGGGGAATAAAATAGTATGGTTGCAAATATATCACACTCACAATCCCCAGAAATGCATGACAAATGGCCCAAAGTAATCACTAAATATATATACAAGCAACAAAATTAACTGTCATAACTGTGTGATGGCTCCAATGTTAAAATGAACGCTGCACACTTGTGTACCTGTCACTACTGCTTTATAGAAGTTAACAGTGTAAGAGTGAGAAATCCGTGGTAAAGGACTTTCTTCTACAGATGGCAGAGTGTATATTGGATATCACTAGGTTGACTGGAGGACAGTGTTTAGATTTCTGTTCTACACATCATGCATGGGGACATATTTGTATGGGTACATAATTGGGATTTATATCTTTAAGATGCATCCTGTTCACCTCGTACAATACACAGTAAATTGATATTTCCCCCAGTTATTTTTAGTGTTGTATTGAAAACTGCCAGACTGAGACTAAAATCATTTATGTTATACAAGAAGAAAACAGTGTAGCAGGTAGGTCAATGAGTGTTTTTCTGATTCTCTCCAATTCCTCAGTATTTTGATGATTACACTTAAAAACTGAGAATATTCCAGTTCAAAATGATCAAAAACCACCAAATGCACTGCAGTTTGCCTTTGAGCAAAAATGCCTCTGTTGCCTCCCTGCAGAAGTTAAGTGTTTAATCTAAAATCGGGTCCGAATGCTGTCTCCTTTTTGGCAGTTGTACAGTATAAAGCAAAGGTTATCCAGTGTCTACAAGGACTGATGCAGTGGGAGGGAACTAGCAATGTAGAATGTAATGGATGACGATCACCAGATTGAACTGACTGAAATTCAGAAGTTTAACGACGTTAAAATGCCTCAGATTTGTGATAAAAACATTTATTTAATGTAAGGTATTTGTTTACATACTACATACATAAGCACATGGATGCAGTGAATTCCACAGACTTTTTTCCATTTTTGCATCTCATTTAGTGAAAATTGCAATAATAGCAAAGGGTAGAGTTGGCCTTGAGAATGAGCCCTGTCTTGTCAGCCACAAGTTATATTTCAGTCTTCTGAATGGAGAGTTTCGAACCAGGGTCCCTTGGCTTTGTAAGGAAGAGAAGAAAACAGGGAGTAAGAGAGGGCCTGGGGCCAAACGGGGCTGCAGTGAAACAGTCTGTGATTCTGAAGCTGTTTTTCCCAAGCACTCATCCAAGTTATTGAGCTGCACTGGAAGGAACCTTTTTGAGGCTGAAGTTGGACCAATTCACTGCTACCTTCTGGCGAGTTTGTTTAGCAGAATCAAGGCAAAACCTACAACAAACAAGGACAAACAAACAAACAAGGCAACAGGGCAATAAAGAAATTATACAAAATTTTAGTGATATATTTAATGGCAATCACTGTCATTTATAGTTTAGCTGAATAAAAAAAAGCATGGTAATGCACTGCTGTATGGAGCTTACCTTTTGAAGTATTCCACTTCCCGATCAATCTCATCCATTTCTGTTGGATCCACATCTTTAGGGAGAAATACATCATCTAAAGGAAGAGGAAATAATTATTAAAAATCACACATAAAGACTGAAAAAGTATAAACAGTCATAATCATGCACACAGTGCTGTATGGTAAATGTAGAGTTTATCCCCTACCGATAGCACTGCTGGATTTTTCACCCTTGTTCTTGTTCTTCTTGTTTTTCCCCTTGGATTGCTGCTGTTGCTGCACATTTGCTGGAATGCTTTGATGAGCTTTGCTTTCTGAATCCTGCTCAGACCGACCTCCCCGTGTCTCTGTGTCACCTTTGCTCCTTTGTGCATTCAAGAGACCAACATTTGCTGCATGTTTGGACGGTCTGTTCTCCTCAGCTTTCTTAGGCCCATTTCTCTGGTTGTCTGCAGTGTGCTGTGGTTGTTTGCTCCCACCTTTTGAACCGTTAGAAGCTATTTCTTTAGACTCACTGGTTTTCTGCGTTTCAATCCCAGAGGCAACTTTGGTTGGTTTGTTGGAATATTGCTCTGACACACATTGCTCCTGTCTTTGCTGCTGTTTTTTATTCTTCTTTGACTTTGCAACACTATTTCCAGCTGTTGTGATCTTGGGATCAGGGGCGTCCTCCTTCAATTTAGCTGTTGCTTGGAGTGGAACCTGTGGCAAATTCTCAGATCCAGTAGGAGTGCATCTTTCTGGGGAGCAAACCCTTATGAGCTTTGAGAGACTGGGGGTAGCATGCAACCGCTGGATGTCCTTTGGCCCAACAGTGACCCCTGATGCTGTGGTGGTATTAGCGGAGGGGACAGTGGTTGTATCCTCCCATCCATTAACCAGGTCCAGGTGGCTCTTAAAGGATCCCAGTGAAAGAGGGGCAAGGTCAAGGTCTATCTGCTGCAAGTCAGAGGAACCGTTGAGATGGGACAGCAAATGGTTGCCTTCCAGTGTGGCAGCCTTCTTTGGGAAGTCATTGACATCCAGATTGAGATCGTACATGCTAAATGAAGCCCGGATTGAGTCTTTGATGGTGTTCTTAATCTCTTCGAGCCGACTGGTGAGGAAACTGTTGACACGTTCCAGCTCCAGCTGAGGCCAGTCCAGCAACCGGCTGGCTTCTGAACCATCAGGGATGGACTCGTCAACAGGCTCAGATGAATTAGAGTGGGGGTCACTGCCTGCAGCACCCATGTTGCCCTGTTGAGCTTTTTCCTAGAACACACAAGGTACAAATATGTGTATGTGTGTGAATGGGCACCCACTTAAACATACACAAATCTTGTGGACACTAAACAATGTATCTGTAGCACAGAGCATCAATGTTACTGGAACCTGCCATCAAATGTCTGCTCAGATTTGTAATTTTGTTTTACTTATTCTTTGGTTAATCCTTAAGACTGTCAAGAAATCAAACCATTTTTGATATTTAGATTCTGCATTTGCTGACCAATTACATCATTAGTGGCTGTTGGAATGTGCCATTCTCACACGCAACTCAAACTGCCCACCTACTGTACACACTAGGAAGTCACAGGAAATGATACATGTATAATTTGTAATCCATTGTTACTCATTGTAATTTTATCTCACTGACAACAGCCTCACTGTTCATTCTCCTGAACCTTTAAATGATAACCAAATGTTACCTACTGATTCTTGAACTGAAATCTCAGGAATTCTAATTTTAAATCAAAATGTTGCCAATGTAGTCACATTTCTCGTAGAGGTGCTTTTGTATAGACAACACTGACCACTACAGGGTGTTGGCTTCTTTTGTTAAATGAGAAGAAAGGCTGGGCAGAATATAGGCTAATATTTCTCCAAGTGCTTCACAGAAAGAAGTAGTGTTTTGATACTAGAATGCAAGTAGTGTATGAGCACTAGCATCACGATCACGATAAATACTCCAAATGAAACAAGGAAAACAAAAACATTCAAGCACACTTTCTAAAGCCATCATACCTTTTTCTTTTGCTTGTGACGAGCCCTTTTCGCAGCCTTGGCACTGTTGACGGGTTTGGGCTCAGAACTGTTTATAAAGTCTAGCAGCTCGTCTACGTCTCGGTTGTCGATGGCACTGGGTGCTGTCAGTTCTGAATCTTGACGTTGAGGCAGTTCCTCTTTGCGCCGGGTCAGACGTGAACGGAGTTTCTCTCGGATCTCGGCGTAGTTTCGGCTGGTTGGTGCAGCTGGAGGCTGTGACCAAATAATATGTTACAATATTAATTTTTTTTAAAATAATTTCAGCTTTTATAAATATAGTAGCAAAGGGAACTCTTAATTAGGACTTCAAGAGCTGACAAAAAAGTTTCAAAATACCGCATTGTGTCCGAAGAACTCGCAGTAGCAGCAGTCGCAGTACTTCCCATCCTTCTGGTTTGTGGAAGAGGAGGCGCAGGAGCTCCTCTCAGAGCTGCTGTCTTCATCCTCCCCCTCTTCCAGCTCAGATGAAGGGTAGCACAATGTCCCATTAGTCATTTTGTGCCCTTTACATGCCTGCTCCCTGTAAACAAGAAATAATTGGCATGATGACATTAACACTCAGAAGGTATTTGCATTCTCAATCAACACAGCTTCAATTTCTAAATTTCATGTTAAAAGTCCAGAGATTCAGGACTAACCTGCAGGCCCCAGCTGTCAGATGACCTACGTTGGAGGTAGCCACTGTGCCCGGACTGTGTCCATTACAAGGGTGGTTACAGCCTATGAGAGAAGTGCCGAGCTTGCTGTGCTGTGTGTTCACAGCAGG